CTCAAAGAGGAGCATAGGCAGGACCAGCTCCGTATCGACAGGATACACAGGGAGCGCCTCAGGCTGCAGTTGCGAGAAGGCGAAAGCCTCTCGCATTGCGGTCAGCGTCTTTCGCCCAGGAGGCCGCGTAAACCTCATGAAGGAGGTGATGCTGCCAGGCGCTAGCCTTTGCCAGGCAGCTAACCCTCAGCCTAAGCCTAACCTCTCCTTCTTTCCTCTTATCAGCTCCCTTTTCCGCCTCATCCCCTCCAGGCCATGAGGAGCGAGCCCAGTATCCTGGGCAACGCCGGTGCAGACGAGGACATGCCCGCTGCTGAGGCGTGCCCGGGGCAACAATTAGAGCCGCGCAGCATCTCGCCACCAGCCTCTCGTTTGGCTTCCTCATGGAAGCATTTGGCTGAGCGGCTTCTTTTGGCTCACCAGCAAGTCTACCGCTTTCTCAGCGGCGGCGCGAGGCGCCACGCACTCATTCTGTCTCCCGCCACGGGGTACCTGCATAGTGCGGTACCCCAGTGGCAAGCCACATGGCAGCTCGAGAGCGGGCCGCCCGCGTGGCCACACGCGCGCGCCTTAGTGGGCCCTGTGCTTCACCTAGATTTGCCCACGGCCGTTAATCGCACACTCGAGCGCTGGCATGGGCGCTGGCGCGAGGCAAACTCCCCTAACCTACTCCACATTTACCCTCAATGTGCTGCGGGGGACGGCCCCTATGATGCACGTTTCTCACCCACCATAGGGCTAGTTTCTGTTTACGTGCCGGACCAGCTTTTTCTGGACCTGCTCCAATCGGGGGCCTGGGAGCAGTCCTCCCTCAGCCCTCATCGTCTTTTGCAGGATGCAGCGGCTGGCAGCCCCATCCTTATAGATTTCCAGGCCATGATCATGGTTCGGCCATTCTGCCTCCCGTTGTCCCACCTCGCTCGTATCCTCCGTCTCCCCGAACCCTAATCCCTCAGGCCATGCCGACCCCAGAGGCGCAGCACCTGCCGCAGTTCGAGCACGGCGACTTCCGCTGCGCCCCCACTGAGGCAGTGCCACCACCGCCTACAGTAGTGCAGTGGATGGTAGTAATAACGACAGGCCACATTCCGCTTTGGTCCCCATTGCCCATCAATGTAGGGCTCCTAATGGAGCAATTCCATGGGCAGGAGACCAGGCTGCCATCCACTGCGGAAAGGCCGCGCTTTTTTCACCTCCCCATTCTTCAGGAGATGGATGCACGGCCCATCCTATTTGGCACGGGCATACCCTACCGCACCGGCCTTTCGCTGCGGGTCAACATGCGTAGCGGTAACATCCTCATCCCTATAGACTCCGCACCAGGCCAAGCATGCATCAGTCGGCCCGTCAGGAGGGTCCTCCTCACACAGATGCAAGCATAGGCCAGCCAGGTTTCACTCATATTTGGCCATTGTCTTATGGGCTACTTCTTTTTGTTCCCTTGGCACTCCCCCCTTCTCTCAGCGCGCCCCACGCCGCCATGGTGCCCACGCCTCCCGCGGGCGGTTTCGCAGCGGCCGCGGCGGAGGCGGGCGCGGCCGAGGCCAGCAGGGCGTCGCCCAACACGCGGGAGCTCTTCGGCCTCTCAGGAGACACGCATGCTGGTTCGGCATGGCAGGGCTCCCAATACACGGCCGCCACGCGTGAGTTCAAAAAGTGGTGGCCTTCCAAATGCCCTGGCGAGTGGAAGATGCCCAACGGCATGCTCTACCCGTTCGTTTGGAAGCTCAAGTCGCTGGACGTCATCGACGGCCAGGTCGTCGAAACCTGGGACTGGGCGTGGATCGAGACCACAGGCCTGGCGACCATCTCAGAGGTGGAGGCCATGCTGAGGGACCACTACAACCAGCAGCAGGCTGCCGCGCAAGAGGCCCAGGCGCGAGCGGCGGCGACAGCGGCAGGGCTCTCGGCGCTCTCGGCTGCCGCCCGCACTCTCAACCCGTCGCCCTTCGGTGCCTGAGCGAGCCACATTAGTGCTGCATCAGTCAGCGCCCTTCTAGGTCGTCCTAAGCGACCTCGGCGCAACTAGCAGCGCGCCCACTTAGGTGGTGGGCTCGCCTAATACTTTCCCTTTATTCATCTTTCCAGCGTTCTCTCCTTACCTCGGCAGCCCACCACCTAAACAGCTGGAGCCATGCCGCTCCAATTCTAGGTCGGTCGAGCCGTCCCGCATAGCCGAGTTGTAGGCCACGCGAGCCTAGCAGCATCCAGCCTATCCCGTCATAGTGCGGCTCAGCAACCTTGAGCAGCCCCGCTAACAGTGAGGCGGCTAAACGCCGCTCACACATCTCAATTCGCAGACTCGCCACGGCTGAGTCCTCACGCATAGGTGGTGGGCTAGCACATTGCTCGGATCCCGGTTTACCTGCAGCCCACCACCTATACAGCCCTAGCCATCACACGAGTCAAAATCTACCAAGGAGACGCCGCGTCTCCAATTTAAGGTCGGCCGAGCCGACATGCAGTCCGCTGCAGTGGGTCCTTCAGGTACACACTCTCACTGCAACTCTTGCGGCGCCAGTCGGCACCATCTCCGGTCAACATGGGATGGGCGCCCATGGTGCAACCGCCAATGCGCCACACAGGGGCGGAGCCAGCTTAATACTTAACTGGCAGCCCACCTAGTCACTCTTTTTTCCACCGGCCCCCCCTTGAGGGCCTGTGCAAGAGTAGTTGCCATTCATGGGCGCGGCTTCTCACTTTGCCGCACGAGTGCGGCCAATGCGGCACATTTTAGCAGCCTCGCTAAACAGCGATCGGCTAAGCTCACACAGCAATTCGCAGACTCGCCACGGCTGAGTCTCCTAGGTGGTGAGCTGGCCTAATACTCTTGGTTCGCCTTGGCAGCTCACTACCTAGACAGCCCTAGCCACAAGTGCCTCGTGAGAGGACCGTGGCACTCTGCCCCGGCTTGTCTCTTTGGCCCTCGTCCAGGTGTAGCAGGGTCCCCTTGGTCCCTGTGTGCCTGTGAGGGGCCACACGGAGGTGGGTCTCTGCTGTCTGGTCTCGGCTAGCGCCCAGGCACACCCACCTCCCCGCCGCGGCCGGCCCGTACAGGCCTTCCAGCTGCAGCGTCCGCCCTGCAGCACGGCAGTGCCATTCTGGCCCTTCTTCTTCCCTCTCTCCAGCTAGCCTCCTCCCTCCCCCAATGAGCTGCTCAGCAGCAACAAGGCGGTTCGACCGCCCACGGCCATTTTGGCCCTCCGTCCAGCTCCTTCTCTCTCCGCACGGTCTACTTAATTTGGGTAGGCATTCCCAGGCCAGATACTTCTTTTCTAGCCCTGCACTGCTCTCTGCCTCGAGGGCTGCCCTGCTATGGGCAACGAAGCAGGGCCCCGCTGATGTCTCTCTTCGCACGGCGCTGCAAACTCCTCCTCTCTCGTATATGTTCCCTCTACTCCCCTCCCGCAGCGCCAATACCTCTCTCCCGACAGTTTTCGGGACGAGAGCGGAAGCAGCTCAGCGTCCATGCTCTCGGGCTTCTCGTGTGCAGCCTGTGCCAGTCCTGTTGGCCGCTGCGCTCAAGCTAACTTGCAACGAGCCTAGTTCAGTCAAAAAGCCTTCCTCCCTCGCCTCCTGTTCCTCCTGATCCTCCTGCTTTCCCTCCTCTCTCCTCCCTCCGCCTACTCCTCTCTCCTCCCTCCTCCGACTTCTCATGGCCCATCTCGGAGTGGAACGTCCAGAAGGAGACCAATACAAGACTAAGGGGGGGTCAGCATTAATGGAGGGTATGGCGACCAGAGGGAACAACAGCAGCAACAACAACAACAACAGCAACAGCAACAACAACAACAACACCAACACCACCAACAACAACACCAACACCAACACCAACATCAGCAACAACAACAGCAACAACAGCAACAGCAACAACAACAACAACAGAAACAGCAACAGCAACACCAGCAACAACAACAAGGATGAAGACGGGTAAGCAGTAAGCACATAAGGATGACACGAGTAATGATGAGAAGGCGAACCATGGAAATAAGCGCAGGAACGAAAGACAACATGTCGCAGGCCCGCGGGGATCCCCCCAAAGCTGATGCTTCGCCGGCTCTCTCTTGCTCGGCGCAGTCCCCGACTCTGAGAAGTGCTCGGCTGGGCCGCAGATCTGGGGCCTGACTCGGGGACCCGACCTACGACTGGGGGGCGCCCATCCTCTGCAGGGGTGCGCAGGCCTTCGGGGGTGTGTCCCCGAGTGTACCCTCTTGCCTGAGCGGCCCGACTTGCAGGGGTCACTCGGGCGTGGGGGGGGGGCGACACACCGCCTGCGAACCACCACCCTGTGAGGAGGCAGCAGGATGAGGACAACACCGGATGAGGGAACATCTGCCTTCCCCAACAGTGCTTTTCGCGGAAGCCATGAATCGCACCCAGCATGTGCGTAAGTCTACGACGAGCAGCTTACACGTCGGTCGGAAGTTGTAGGTGAAAACATGAAGTAGGAAGGCGAATTAAGTTGATTGGGTTCAGCCCCCCCCCAGAGAATAACACAACACAGCAAAAGCGTGTCGATTCTTGAAATAGGAAGGCGCTTGAAGAATACTGGGACCTGGGAATCCAAACATACCTACTTTCAACGACCGGCGTGTACGTATATCTTTTAGATTTGGCGGGGAAGTTAATTCGCTGGGGCAGAGCAAGTGTGCAGTCGATCTCCTACTCGGAGAAGGCGGGGATCTCCAAGAGCTGGCGGGCCTGGAGGATGCATCGGGCGCCGCGGCCTCCCTGGCACGCTCCGGGGAATTCCTCCTGCCAGACGCTGAGACTCGGGCGGTGCAGTTTGCTCAGACTCGGCGTTTCCCGCCCCGCTTCGGGTACACCACGGCCCTCGCAGACGAATCGGACTTGAGGCATGCCGAAGGAAGCTGGGGTCCACGGCTCCTCGATGCTGTGGTTTTCTCGCATCGCCGGATCTCGGGGTAGATGGATGCGGGACCCAGATGGAGTCCCACAAAAACACACGGCTCTACGCCGATGCACCGGCAGACGAGAGCCTCTGGTCGAAGTTCAGATCTGCTGGGGAGCGCTCGCCTCTTCACCGGCGTCATCAGGGAAGGGCTACCGGCCGGTGGAGGATCGCGCCGCATCGCCGATGCATCGGCGATGCGGCGCGATCCTCCACCCCATCTACTCCGACCCCATCTGGGAGGCTTGGGAAGGAACAGTCTCGAGCCTCGAATGTCGAACTTCCAATGCGCTGGAAGTCTGTTGGGGAGGCCAAAAGGCACCGATAACGCTACTCCCCGGACGTCTCACTGGGTGCGTTCTGACTAGGATTTCGAGGCGAATCCGACGGTGGCGACGAGGGCCTCCCAGGAAGCCCAAAAAGGCGAAAACGAGGAAAGGGTAGCGGGATGGGTACCTCTTCCTCCTCTGACCACTGCACTGGAGGTCTGTCCCCCCTTGGCACTGCCCGAGAAGACAGAGAAGCCCGTGGACTCCAGCAGCCGGGCGTTCCCAGGCACCGGGACCTCCGCGCCAGGGCGGGCTCCCGCGCGCGCAGAGGGAGGTCGTCGTCATCGCCGTCGTCGTTGTCGTCGTCAGCGTCGTCGTCGTCGTCGGAGGAGGAGGCGGAGGAGGCGGAGGAGGAGGAGAAGGAGAAGGTCGTCGTCGTCGTCGTCGACGTCGTCGTAGTCGTCGTCGTCGTCGTCGTCGTCGCCGTCCTAGTCGTCGTCGTCGCCGTCATCGTCGTCGTCGTCGTCAGCGCCGTTGTCAGGCGCCGATCATTGGGTCGGAGTGATGATGAATGATGATGAGGACGAGCGAGGAGGAGGAGGAGGAGGGGGAGGAGGAAATGGAGGAAAAGGTGCGAACAGACTGGGAGCGCGAGCGGGATCCGCAAGAGACTCGGCAAGAGAGGTGGCTACGCTTCGCCAGCTCGTGCGATGGGCGTAGTCGGCTCAGAACCGACAAGCGATGGCAGAACACAAGACTGGGCAAGGGGTGGGGAGGAGGGGCAGGAGGAGACGGAGGAGAAGGGGGATGAGGAGGGAGGGGGGAGGGAGAAGACGGAGGAGAAGGGGGAGAGAGGGGAGGAGGAGGAGAAGAAGGAGAAGGAGGAGGAAAGGGAGGGGAAGATGGAGGGAGGGGGAAAAGGGAGGGAGGGAGGGAGGGAGGAGGGAGGGAGGGAGGGAGAAGGAGAAGGAGGAGGGGAGGAGGAGGAGGAAGGAGGAGAGGAGGACGAGGAGGAGGAGGAGGGGGGAGGAGGAGGAGGAGGAGAGGGGGAAAGAGGAGGAGGAAAAAAATGAGGAGGACAGGAAGGAGGAGGAGGAGGAGGAGGAGGAGGAGGAGGAGGAGGAAGACGAGGAGGAGGAGGAGAAGGTGGAGGAGGAGGAGGAGGAGGAGGAGGAGAGGAGGGGGAGGAGGAAGAGGTGGAGGAAGAGGTGGGGGAGAGGGAGAGCTGGAGGGAGAGGAGGAGGGAGGAGGGCGGGGGGGAGGGGGGGGGGGGGGCGAAGGGGGCGAGGGCAAGGAGGGGGAGTGGGGAGGAGGAGGAGGAGAATGGGGGGGAGGAGAAGGAGGAGGAGGAGGAGGAGCAGGCGGAGGAGGAGGAGGAGGAGGAGGAGGAGGAGGAGGAGGAGGAGGAGGGGGAGGAGCAGGAGGGAGGATCAGGACGGGGGGGAGATGGAAGATGAGGAGGAGGAGGAGGAGGAGGAGAATGGACCCCCGCGCCTCCCGGAACGGCGGCTCCCCGCCGCCCTCGTCCTGCTCGCCTCGGTCGCCCTCGGCTCCGAGGGCGACCGGGGCGGGTGTCCGGCTGGCCGGCCGCGCCACCTCGCGGTCCGCGCCCGCGGCCTCGACCCGAAGCATCACCTCGAGAGGGCCGGAGAGACACCCTCGCAACGAGCTCTCCAAACAAGCGAGGCCCTTCAGTAGAATCACCTTCCCCGATGTTCGACGATCTCGCGGCGCAATGCCCCCTCCAAACAGGCGAGGCACTTCAGTAAATTCACCCTCCTCACTTTCCAGTGAGATCGTTCGAGTGAGATCGATGATGTGGTCGACAGAGACATCACATCGCGGCGCAACATCGTCATCACGCGTCGTCGCCAACTCGAGGGCGCGCCACCGGCATCGTCGTCATCACACCCATCGCAGTTGCCAGCAGTCGGTTCTTTTCCCTCCTCATCACCCGAAGGGTGGTCGTACATATGTAATTTGTCGGATGGGGGGTGAGATCGCAGCAGAACGGAGAGGCCCCCACCGGGAAAGCGGTTTCGTTTTCGTGTTCGTGTCGTGCGCGCGGGCAAGGTAAAACTGGGCTGGCGCGCGAGGAATGATTCCGCCGTCGCTAGGGCGATTCGGATGCAAAAATCTAGCCCTCCGGTGGTCGCGCGGTGGCTGGGGGCGTCCCGCCGTGTTGTTCGCGGTGTCCCGATGGTGTCTCGCGGTGTCTTGCCGAGGGCGCGCGAAGGGAATGATCCCGCCGTCGCTAGGGCGATTCGGATGCAAAAGCCTGGCCCTCCGGTGGGCGCGCGGTGGCTGGGGGTGTCCCCCAGTGGTGTCCCGCGTTGTCCCGATGGCGTTCTGCGGTGTCCCGCCGTGGTCTCCCGATGGTGTCTCGTGGTGTCCCGTGGTGTCCCGCGGTGTCCAGTTGCCAGCAGCTGGCTCGTTCCCCTCTCCCCAACCTTCTTAGATTACCTGAAGGGCGGTCGTATAGGTATGCGTATGTATAGATATATATGTATATCGGAGGTTGGGGGGGGAGATCGAAGTGGAACGGAGAGCCCCCCTACCGGGAAATCGATTTCGGTTTCGTGTTCATGCGTGCCGTGCGGGCGAGGCGAAGCTGCGTGGGCGGGCGAGAGAAAGTCTCCTGTGGCTGAGGCGCGGCCGGACCAAATGACTCCCTTCCGGGCGGCAGGGGGCCCGCGGTGTCCCGCCGGTGTCCCGCTGGTGTCCCGTGTGGCTGAGGCGCGGCCGGACCTCCCTTCCGGGCGGCAGGGGGCCCGCGGTGTCCCGCCGGTGTCCCGCTGGTGTCCCGTGTGGCTGAGGCGCGGCCGGACGAAATGATTCCCTTGCGGGGGCGGCGCGGTGTCCCGCCGGTGTCCCGCCGGTGTCCCGTCCGTGTCCCGTCGGTGTCCCGATGATGATGTTGATGATGATTATGATGATGATTATGATGATGATGGTGATGATGATGATGATGGTGATAATGATGATGATGATGATGATGATGATGATGATGTTGATGATGGCGATGCTGATGATGATGATGATGATGATGATGATGATGTTGATGTTGATGATGATGATGATGATGATGACGTCGATTGCGAGATCGATTGTGATATCGGTAGTGAGACCGAATGTGAGATCGATTGTGCGATGCTGATGGTGATGATGGCCTTCATGGTGTTGATGTTTGTGATTATGATGACGACATTGTTGATGTCTGTTGCCCATTGCTGGGCCCCTCCCCCCCTCAACCTCCTTATCACCCGCACCTATACGACCACCCTGCGGGTGATAAGGAGGTTGAGGGGGGGAGGGGCCCAGCAATGGGCAACAGACATCAACAATGTCGTCATCATAATCACAAACATCAACACCATGAAGGCCATCGTCACCATCAGCATCGCACAATCGATCTCACATTCGGTCTCACTACCGATATCACAATCGATCTCGCAATAGACGTCATCATCATCATCATCATCATCATCATCAACATCATCATCATCATCATCATCAACATCATCATCATCATCATCATCACCGCCATCATCAACATCATCATTATTATCACCATCATCATCATCACCATCATCATGAGAATCATCATCATAATCATCATCAACATCATCATCGGGACACCGACAGGACACGGACGGGACACCGGCGGGACACCGCGCCGCCCCGGCCGCCCGGAAGGGAATCATTTCGTCCGGCCGCGCCTCAGCCACACGGGACACCAGCGGGAAACCGGCGGGACAGCCGCCCGGAAGGGAGTCATTTGGTCTGGCCGCGCCTCAGCCACACGGGACACCAGCGGGACACCGGCGGGACACCGCGGGCCCCCGGCCGCCCGGAAGGGAGTCATTTGGTCCGGCCGCGCCTCAGCCACATGAGACTTTCTCTCGCCCGCCCTCGCAGCTTCGCCTCGCCCGCACGGCACGCACGAACACGAAACCGAAATCGATTTCCCGGTAGGGGGGCTCTCCGTTCCACTTCGATCTCACCCCCCAACCTCCGATATATATATATATATATATAGCCATCGGAGTTCCTCAGCTCCTTGGCTGGATCTCTTCAGCCTCAAGTTTGAATCCTGAAGATGCTCTTGGGAACCTGGACCCCAAATTTACACATCTCTTGGTGCTCCCGGCGTGCCCTCTGGGGCCCGTCGCGGCTTGCCGCGTGCCTTGTTGAGCCTGAGGGGGCCCCAAGACGGGCCCAGAGGGCTCCAAGTAGCCGCTCAAACGATCCAAGAGAATCCCGAATCACCACACGATCGGTCTAAGACGCCCAAGCTGGCCCCAATACGGCCCAAGAAGCCTTCCCCGAAGATCTTTGAAGTGAGCAAGCTTGAGGTTTACATCAGATATCTATGTTACTTACCCGCGCGATGTATAGCTTTCAAGATTTGGGAGTTGATAGCTCGTGGGAGCTATTCGGTGATTAACTTGTGTTAAACTCGTTACCCCGCTTGCCCCAGTTAAAGCACTCTCGATTCTCGAATGCACATGTGCGCGCATGTACGTTGAGTATCCTGCGCGCGTATACTGCCTGCTTGGTGCGTGAGTACAATGTATACAAAGGTAGATCAATGTATTTATTGCGTATATTGGATTCGTGATTGCGCGTGCGTGTTTTGACTGTGTATCTTGGCTCCCCATTGTTTCAGGAGCAGGAGATGGGAGCGGACCGCGATGGTATACGCAACTCGCCTCACCAGGCGTGCTGGCAACCATCATGATCCTCGCCAGGCAGTCCTACGAACGTGGCCGCAACGCCAGTCGGGGAGGACGGCTTCGGGCCTCGCCACGATTGCGTATCTGGGCTCCCTGATCGGGTACGCGTGCCTTTCGGCTCCGCCAGGCGGCTCAAGAGGTTCTGCGGCCATGCCCCTCTCCCCGTGCTGCCCCCGTCGCTCCACGTCGCCGCACCCGCGCGCGGTGCTCCCCCGATGCCACGGCGAAAGACGTGCGGCCGCCATTGGGGAACACTTGGTGAATAGCGAGGGGCACAATGACGCGTGGAAGAGAATCAGGCTTTGGCCGCAGCTATTGTTGCGTGCTTTTGCTTGAAAGGCGCACCTAAGTACTGCATTGATGCGCATGACTTATCTTCTACATCGGGTGCGCGATACCGGTGTGCACATGTATTGTATGTGTTGCTGTGTTGAGATTAGCCCCCTCCCCCGCTCCCATGAAGGCCTGCGCATGCTAGTGGCCTCCAAGACGGCACCAGAGCCCAGGGTGATGGATAAGTTCGCTTTGCGAATACAGGAATGTGCTGCCATCGCGCCCAACCTGCCCGTGCCGAAGGCCAAGCTGCGCCAAGCAGTTCGGCGCGAGAACGGCGCGGTGGACAGCCTAATGGTGTTCTCCCTTCCCTACGTGTGCAGGTTCGCCCGGTGCAGCAGGTGGGGATCAACACAGTAGAGACTGGCTGCGCATATTTCTGCAAGTAAGTTGCCTGGTACATCAGGACGGCGCTGGCCTTCAGCCTCGCGTGCATTCCCCCGCCCCGCCCACGCCCCCCCGCCCTTGGAGGACTCTTGCCACCAAGCGCGGGCCCAAACGCTTGCAGCATGTCTCGGAACCCCATGCTCAGAGGGGTGGAGGCGATCACAATGTATTGGGAACGGGTTCCAGAATCCGAACCGCTGCGCATCATGGCCGCGACATCGCAAGGCCGAGGGTCGCCCATTTATGCGAGTGATGCATTCATGCCCGACGTAGCGCTCGGGGAGCCGCCACGGCAGCTTCACTAATCTTCTGTATCACATGCCCCCTGCACTCAAGAACGGGTGTGACGGGCACATCTCTCATACAATAGCCCAGCAACATGATGGTTGACACATGTACGTATGTACACTGACACATGTACGAAGAAATGTGCTTGCGTATCCCTCCCAATGCAACTACACGTGCGTATAAACGCACGCAGCTATACACAAGTTATACATTGGCGTATGTCTACGTATGCATATACATGTACATACATGTATATATGTGTGTATATATATATGTGGTCATCGGTATTTAAATGCACATATGTGCATACAAATACACTTCCCTGACCGTGCATACGTACTTACATGTGTGCGCCTTCCGACCATGTGCGTTGGGCATGCGCGTTTGTACGTGTAGACGCATTAGTGGGCGCAGACCTGCGCACAGAGTTGCACATCTGTACGCACGCACGCACAGATTCGTGCATCTCCCAGACAAGCGAAGGGGATCGGGAGGCAGCCGACGGCGTCCTCGAAGCCATGAAGAAAGCCGGCGGCCTCCCCGATGGCCCGAGCGCGCCGCCGGGGCGCCGTGCTCCCCTGATCGGCCCGCAGCGCCAGAACACCGCCAGCCCTGGCAATTCCGATGCAAGGGAAGGGGCGCCCACGGAGAGCGCACCCACGATGATGGGCTGCAGTCTATTTCAACAGATGTCAAACGTAGATGCGTTCCAGGAGAAGTCGCCCTGCAGGCATATCGTTACGACCAAGACCTCCCCCTGGAAGTCCAGCGTGTTCGAAGAGGCCCAGCTTGGTATCTTGAGCAGGGGCCATAAGGAGGGAGGCGCGGCGCCCAGCGGCGGCCGCCGTGACCGAGACAAGGGGGGCCACGCAGAGCGCCAGAGGGCAAACAGGGAAGCGAAACCAACCCGAGGGAGCATGGGGACCGACCGCTCCCTTTGTACATTGTGTGGTGCGTATCAACGCCCATCAAGCGGGGACTCCACTAACGGGTACTTTGGCCAGTGACCCAGCGAACCCAACCCTTCCCGATGTGGGCAACGCTGCATTGCCAGAAAGAGGCCCGAAAGTGGCAACTTTCGGAAACATTGCAAAGTGTTCGTTAGTAAGTACCCGTTACGGTGCCGTTGAGCGTATGCTTTTGCCCATCGGTCGGGAGAAGTGGGTAGAAACATAAAGTAAGAAGGCGTTGAACATATATTGGGTGTCCGCCCACCTCCTTGTGAGGACGGAAAAGGTGAAGCCACTCGATCATTCAAGTAGGAAGGCGCTTAGAGTAGATTGGAATATGGGAACTCAAAATACCTACTTTCAACGACCGACGGGTAGTTATGGGCGTTTGTTCTGCAGAGTTTGTTATGCTCAAGTCGGTGCATCCTTCTTGCTGACACTGTTTCGTCCTCTGGGCCCCGCATTGCGCCTGCCATCGCGCGTATCCCTGCGCTTGGTTAGATGTTTTCCTCGCCCAAACGCGGGCGAAGAGGCGAGCCGAATACGCGCATGAATCCACCCAACAAATGCCAGCTGTTCTTCCCCGGGGCACGAAGAAGGCCAACTTTCAGTACTTCGGAGCCGTGTACACCTGACAGAACAAGCACAGTCTAATCTACCACTCCATGTGTGGCAAGGCCATCTCCGACGGGGTACCTGACGACGAGGCACGCCGAGCGAGCAGGCAAACAGAGGGGAGGTGTTGATGCTGCCGGTGACGATGACGATGGCGACGATGATGCTGATGAAAAGCACGAAAGGTATGGCTTTGATGGTGATGCGATTGTCCACGATCAACATGACAACGGTGATGCGACGGGGGTGGGCCCAAAGGCGAAGGCGAAGGCCTCCGAGGCGTGCGGCAAAGCCAAGCCACTCGTCTTGGCCGAGTACGGGTTTCCCTTGAGCTCGATTTTTGGCGAGCCCGAGGTAGATACTACAAACGTAACTCGCATCGATTAGTGTCGAGTGCGACGCCGCCAGTCGTGCGGCGGTTCTCTTGCCGCGATGAAGGTTTAGTGCATTTTGTATCTTCGAATGTCTTTATATGAGCAGTGTCGGATCGTCAGGAGCTGCTGCGCTGCCTCTGATCTGCGCGGGTACGCCCGCGATTTGGCGCCGCACTGCCTGGAAGGGAGGCATCCCGTTCTACCGCGCGCCGCCCGGTGCCTGCGCGGCCCGCGCGCTCGCAGTTCCGAGCGGCACGGTAATTGGACCATGCAGCTCGCTGCCGACTGTGCCAGAGAAACGCGCGAATTGCATGTGAACCAAGCGAACGTGTGTGTGGACATATACGTGTGTGTGTGTTGAATTGGCGGCGCCGCCGCTGGCAGGGGGGCGGGCCGCGCGCCCGCCGCACCCCCTTTCCTCCTCCTCCTCCTCCTCCTCCTCCTCCCTCCCTCCCTCCCTCCCTCCCTCCTTCCCTCCCTCCCGCCCGCCTGCCACAGGGCAGTCTTCGCGCTGGTAAAAAGAAAAGATGTGCATATGTATATACATGTGCACGTATACAAATATACTTACATATACATATATATATATGTATATATATGTATATATAAGTATATATATATATATATACATACATATATATTTATATATGTATATGATCGTATGTGTGTGTTTGTCATAGCTATCTGCGCGCATGTGCATGCATACTCGCACGCGCACGCCTGGAAAACAGGCGCGCACGCGCGCGCACGCGCGCCCACCTTCGGACTTCGCCGCCGAAGCCGGTGCCCAGCTCCTGCGAGGCGGCCTCGGTGAGGCCCGGCCCCTCGCCCCGTGTGCTCCGCGGCGCGGGGCGCCGTGGCCACGCGTCAATCGGTGCGCGCGACGCTGGGCGGGTCTGCCCACATCGCCTGGGTTTTCGGCGCCCGGCGCGCGGCGCGCGCCCATGCCGAGCAACCTTTTGTTCCGCACTGGTGTGAAACAATACCGGCTGGGCCTGCGCCACATCGCCTGGGCCTGCGGCGCCTGGTCTGGATGACAAGAGCCTGCACCTGCGGGGCATGTCCTTTTCGGCTGGACATCGAGTTGCGGCGGGGGGGAGGGGCGCGGATGCGCTGGGACGGCGCGCGCGCGCACCCTCTGAGTGGGCCCTGCGCGGTGCGGCCAGGGGTGCGCTGTATGTGCCCTGCTTCTCGGGTGGTGTCGTATATGTCCCGTGGTCTCCCTGCCCTCGCGCGTTTTTTTTTTGTTTTGTTTTTTTTTCGCGGAGACTGGGCATCAGCATGCGTTGTGAGAACTCGTGCGCACAATTCTCGCGCCCTGCTGCCAGGATGAGTGCGCTAATGCTCACCATGCGCGGACATCATGCTACAACATACCAAGCATAGCGAGATAACATTTATATCGGTTCAAAATATTAGAAAAAAATATCACACAACAAGTATCGTACTAACTGTTTAACGCCCGTGCTGTTCGGCCGCCCTCCTGACCGATTTGGGCCCGCTGGCACGGCCCATCAGGGGCTTCTGGAAGCTCCATACAACCCGGAAACCTTTTGCAGGGGCGTCCAGGGGGTCCCTGGGGGCCCTGCTTGGGGGGGGCAGGTGTTTCTAACACCTCCGGCTTATAGAAATGCCCAGAAAAGGAACGCACATACACACAAACATACATCCAGATTCAGACATAATTTACTTATATATATCTAGCAACAAATAAAACTAAGTGTGCACATGCATATGCTTATGCATATCTATATGTTTAAGTATCAACATGTTTGTGTATATACACACATATATATACGAATGTATACATATATATAGGTGTTCAATCGATGTTTGGCCGTCAATTTCAGCCCTCGGAGGCCGTTGTAGGGCCACTTGGCCATGACACATAGAACAGGGCCGACAATCGACCCCTGGGCACACAATGGATCGAGACCTCAGTGGCCGTGCCTTTACAAACAAAAAGCACATCGTCGAATGTCTGGGGGAGGGCAGGAGAGCCGCTCGCCCCCTCACTCCCTCTCCGCCCAGGACCTCCACGGAATTGGCGAGCGGTTTCTCATATGGCGCTTCGACACTGGACGGAAGGGGGGGGGAAGGGGGGCGGGGGTCTGGCTCGGGACCTCTGCTTAACAGGCGGCGGTTTGCGACAGTGCGCCCTGGGGGGGAAGACCCCTCTTGCTCGAAACAGGCGCCCAAAGCAGCCAAGATCTACTCCATGGGTGGGGGGGAGGTTGGGTGCGAGGTCCCGCGCCGATCGGCGAAACAATGAACAAGAAAGCAATCACTTGAAACGTTCAGTGCAAACGTGCTCATGTTTTTCGGCCTCTGCGGAACCTCGCCGGGCCCTGGGGCCGTCGAAACCGATCCGGGGTGCAGAGTCGGCTCCGAGGAACGGGTCGGGGCTTCTGGGGACCCCGTGGCGCAAAGGCGGCATCGGATCCCTGGGAGGCTCGATGTCGATCCGATCGATCCAGTTTTGGGCCGCTTCCGGCCAGCCCAATCCGATTCGGTTCCGATGTTCCGGCGGTCCGAGGCTGCCCGATGCTTGCATGGCTCTGCTGGGCCTCATGGCGCGGCCAACCCCTACAAGCGAAACCCTGCCGCAAACGCGCCCGGGGAAGCCGTCGGGCAGGGCAGCGCGTCTCGCAGAAACGCCCAGGACACTTGTTTTCAGAATTGGAAACAGAACGCGTTGGTGGACAGCCGAATTAGAGTGCGCCGCGACCGTCAGAATGGTTGCTGGTGCACCGGCGTCGGAAACCTATATATCGCCAGAGAAATTCCGAAGTCGCGCCATATGTCGCCCACGCACTCTGGGAGGCCGGGATTCGGGACAGAGACGCAAACCAAGGCCGGCGCACGGGCGACGCTCGGGCGACGCACTGAACGAAACTTAAAGGGGGGGGTGGTCGCTTCACTGGGCCTTAACAGTCGGGGTGGTCCTTTCCTGACCATTTTCTTAGGGTGGAGGGCTCAGGGTGAAATCCATTTGGGCTTTGGCACCTCGAAAATCAATCCGTCTTGTGGTTCACCTTTTGCCGATTGAAGCCTCGAAAATCCATCGAAACGGCATTTCAGATTTCACCCTTTACCCTCCACCCAAAGAAAATGCTCGGCTTTCCTCCCTCGTGACCACGAACGAGGCGAGGACCACAGAAGGCGAAACGCCGGCACGAGGCACAGACTTCCGGAGGCTCGCGCGGACGTTTGGGACACCTGCGCTGGGCCCGCCTATGGCGGCGCCTCCGGCGCGGTCCGCGCAGGGCTCGCTCTGCATCCCGAGTCGCTTCCTGACGGCCCCTGGGCCCAGAGGGCCCCCAGAAGCTTAGGTCGGGCATGTCCCCCAACAGGCGGATTTTCGCGAAAATTCGAAACAGTAACAACAATACACCAAAATAGTCAATTCATATTCAAAACCAGTCTGCAGACCATTGTTGCATTATTTTTGACTATTCCCCCTGTAGACGGACATGCCCGACTTATCCAGAGGCAGGAACCGGCGGAAAACCTCCGCATTGCATGTCTCAATGCGCTGGACCTCTCCAGGGCCGGCGCGACAAGCCCGCGAGGACCTCTGACAATGTGCGTGCCCATGGGGAAGCCACAGGGTACCGATCCCGCTGCTCCCCGGACCTCTCCCGGACCGCGTTCTGCCCAGAATTGCCAGGCGAACCAGTGGTGACAACGAGGGCCTCCGAGGAGGCCAACATAAGGAAAGAGGGGCGCAGGGCAGCGGTATCGGTACCTTGCCCTCCTCTGAAGTCATGCCAGCGTTTCTCCTTCGCCGATCAGCAGGCACCCCGCGTCGCACAGCACCAGGCTCCCCTCGAAGGCGGGCCGCAGTCTCGAGACTCCGAAGAGGCCCCGGCGCCCCACGACGTAGCCCACGACCATGTTGACGAAGTGGTACAGGGAGGATCGAGGAGCAAAAAACTGTACAAGCAAAACTTTCAGGACCCTCAACTCGGCGGCGAGCGAGGAGGGGGAAGTGAGAATGATAAGGCCTACTCGGGACTTCTCAGAAGCCCTCGCGCCTTCTGAGAAGTTTTTTCCCCATATCCTAAGATGGGGTTCTTGTTATTACTTGGACGCCTCCTACTCCCTCTCCCTCCTCCTCTTTCCTCCTCCTCTCCTCCTCTTTCCTCATACTCAGACCTACTCATACTCAGACTTACTCATACTCAGACTTACTCATACTCAGACCTACTCATACTCAGACTTACTCACAGTCAGACATACTCATACACAGACTTACTCATACACAGACTTACTCACACCCATACGTACTCATACACAGACTTACTCATACCCAGACTTACACATACACAGTATTACTCATACTCATACATACTCATACCCAGACGTACACACAGACTTTCTCATACACATACCTACTCATACCCAGACTTACTCATACACAGACTTACTCATACACAGACTTACTCATACTCAGGCATACTCATACTCAGACCTATTCATACTCATACTTACTCAGCACACATTAGATTTGGAGGATGTCTCAGGCGGGGCGCTGGTTTCAGCACCCCTAAGGGGAGCCGCCAACGGTGTTTGCACGGGCTCGTTCGCGGCCATTTTGTGGGGATGTCTCAGGCGGTTTGCTTGTTTCTGGGCCCAACATCCTTCGCTTGGAGAGCAGATTGTGAGGATGTCTCAGGCGGGGCGCTGGTTTCAAGCACCCCTAAGGGGAGCCGCCAGGGGTGTTTGCACGGGCTCGTTCGCGGCCATTTTGTGGGGATGTCTCAGGCGGTTTGCTTGTTTCTGGGCTCAACATCCTTCGCTTGGAGAGCAGATTGTGAGGATGTCTCAAGCGGGGCGCTGGTTTCAGCACCCCTAAGGGGAGCCGCCAGGGGTGTTTGCACGGGCTCGTTCGCGGCCATTTTGTGGGGATGTCTCAGGCGGTTGCTTGTTTCTGGGCCCAACATCCTTCGCTTTGGAGCAGATATTGGAGGATGTCTCAGCGGGCGCTGGTTTCAGCACCCCTAAGGGGGGGCCGCCAGGGGTGTTTGCACGGGCTCGTTCGCTGCCTTTTTGTGGGGATGTCTTAGGCGGTTTGCTTGTTTCTGGGCTCAACATCCTTCGCTTGGAGAGCAGATTGTGAGGATGTCTCAGGCGGTGCGCTGGTTTCAGCACCCCTAAGGGGGGCCGCCAGGGGTAGTTTGCACGGGCTTCCGTTCGCGGCCATTTTGTGAGTGTGTTCAGGCGGTTTGGCTTCAGAGCTTCTGGGCCCAAACATCCTTCGCTTGGGAGAGCAGATTGTGAGGATTGCTCGGGCGGGGAGCTGGTTTAAGCAAACCTAAGGGGAGCCAGCCCAAGGGGTGGTTGCACGGGCTCGTTCGCGGCCATTTTTGTGGGGATGTTCTCAGGCGGTTTGCTTGTTTCTGGGCTCAACATCCTTCGCTTGGGGTGCAAAGTGTGAGGATGTCTCAAGCGTGGCGCTGGTTTCAGCACCCCGAAGGGGAGCCGCCAGGGGTGTTTGCACGGGCCCGTTCGCGGCCATTTTGTGGGGGTGTCTAAAGCGGTTTGCTTGTTTCTGGGCTCAACATCCTTCGCTTGGGGAGCAGATTGCGAGGATGTCTCAGGCGGGGCGCTGGTTTCAGCACCCCTAAGGGGGGGCGCCAGGGGTGTTTGCACGGGCTCGTTCGCGGCCATTTTGCGGGGATGTCTCAGGCGGTCTGCCTGTTTCTGGGTTCAACATCCTTCGCTTGGAGAGCAGATTGTGAAGATGTCCCAGGCGGGTCGCTGGTTTCAGCACCCCTAGGGGGAGCCGCCAAGGGTGTTTGCACGGGCTCGTTCGCGGGCCATTATCGATGTCTCAGGCGGTTCGCTTGTTTTTGGGCTCAACAGGGAGGGAAATGACAGGAACGAGGATGAGGAGGAGGAACAGGAGGAGGAGGAGGAGGCGGGGGATCGTGAGGAAGGGCATGGGGGTGCGGAGGGGGAGGGTGAGCAGGAGGATGAGGAGGAGGAGCAGGAGCAGGAGAAGGGAGGGGGCGGAGGAACAGGAGGAGGAGGAGGACGAGGAGGAGGGCGCTTCGCTCGAAGGTCCTTGACGCGAGCAGAACGTTTGTTCCGAAGTCCAAGACATACATATATATATATATATGTATATCTATATATGTATTCATAGGGGGTGACTGCGAGGGGGGGGGGCGGTGGTTGTGTGCGGGGATCGTTGGCAATGCTCACCGTGGTACTATCCTCCAACATGACATGCACTTATGTCCTTGTGTGGCTAAACGCTCGTCTTACATATCCCACTGCCATTTATCCTACAACATATGCACATGTGGGAAGCTCCAAAGCTACCACGGGCTGAAAAGGGGAAGGCCTGGCAGCTGAGGAGGGGGATGCAGAGGAAGAGGCTCGCATTCAACCGTACTCAACGCTCACTCTGACTCATACGCAATCACTCGCATTAGGGGTCACTCGTCTTCGTCGGTCCTGTCGCCCACGTGGACGCGCTATTGTAGTCGACCGCTCATGAACAGACGCTCGCCACGGCATGACATAAAACATGAGATCCACATATGGGGAGCTCCGCGCAGTGAGTAATTGTGTCTTCAGGGAAGGCTTACAAAACTTCTCAGACGGCTGGGGGACTTCTGAGCCTTCTGAGAAGGCCCAACCCTTCTCACTTCCCCCACTCGCTCGCCTCCGGTTAAACCAATGAGTTGCGTGTTTTCGAACTGGGCGTTTCCACCCAGCTTCGGGCCCTGGGACCATCGCAGATTGATCCGGCTCCAAAAATGCCGCGCAAAAATGGGGTCCGACAAGGGCTCCAGCTGCGATCTTTTGCAAAATCGATGTTCTTCCAACGTCGGATCTCAGGGGGAGCTCCGCGCGGATTCCTGGATCGGCGCTGGACCCCCCACCCTGGCGCGCGGAGCGCGTCGGGGGCGGCGCCAGAGGCACCTCCAGAGAGGTCCAGCGCCAATCCGAGAGATCCGCGCGGAGAGCTCCGAAGGTTTGTGTGCTATGCCGTTTTCCGCTCCTCGAGAGAAGCCGAGGCCGATGCCGAGCAGCTTGACCAGCGGCAGCACGAGGTAGTTGGACACAGCCCACAGGCAGCCGCCAAGGACCACCAGAGGCGGGATCCCGCGGTCCAGGTCGTGCAGCAGCAGTGCGGCGAAGAAGCCCACGAACAGGATGCCCGAGCACATGAACCTCATGGGGCCCAAGGGGACACCGATCCATCGACACAGACTCCCGGATGCCCAATCATTGTCCTATACTTCCTGGACTTCCTCCGTCCATCCCTGGACGGGGAGGATTCGAGGAGGAGGAGGAGGAGGAGGGGGAGGAGGAGGAGGAGGAGGAGGAGGAGGAGGCAACAGGAGGAGGAGGAGGAGGGGGAGGAGGAGGAGGAGGAGGGGAGGAGGAGGAGGAGGGGAGGAGGAGGAGGAGGAGGAGGAGGAGGAGAGGCGCGAAGAGGAGGAGGAGGAGGAGAATGAGGAGGAGGAGGAGGAGGAGGAGGAGCTTCACGTGCCGCCTCCGTGCGCCCGTCATCCGTAGATCGTCGACGGCCAGGCCTCTCCCCTCCCCACCGCCTCCCCGGCCGTCTTCTGCCCTTCCGCCTGCCCCCAATGCGCCCTGTTTGGGCGTGGCTGAATGGGGGGGTCACAAATGGGGGGGTCAGAAACGGTCCCCTTTCGTGCCCTTTTCGGGACCCTCCGGAGCCCCAGGGGGGCTGGTTTAGGTACCGTTTGGGTACCTTTTCGGACCGCGCTCGCCACCCCCCCATTTATGACCCCCCCATTACTCGGCGCCCAACCTGTGCCCAGCGCAACCCGCCGGCTCTGCCCATTCGCGCGTGCGACCGCCATCGATGCCGACAACGTGGCTTTGGCAGATTTTCTCCTCTGGATGTTTGTTCACGCAGAACCCCACGGGTGACACAACCGCATCGCGAACCAAGAGGTCGCCAAGCAATCCAGAACACCGCACAGAACAACCTGGAAGAGGCAAGACTCATGCTAGGAATCGTAGCCTGAGCAACACGTCGACGATGCGGTTGCGACAGGAGGGCGGATGGATGAGAAAATGATGTCGATGTTTCCTCCTGGGAACTTAGGAGTGCCACGTGGGACCTGCTCTAGAATAGGAATACCCCGTTCACGGATCTACCCTTTCTCCGACCTTGCGTTGTGTCGAATGTACCGGTCGCGTTGTCTATAGACGCATCCACCCCGAATGTGTCTATATCCGTGACGACCCCCGTGTGTCCATAGACTCTTGCGGCCAGAAGGTGGGAACGGT